CTGCAGCTGCTCGGGCTCTCTAAGGGTGGCGCTGGAGAGCCGCGAGTGAAGCCGGGCTGTGATCAAACGGCGCTAGATCCAGATCTGAGGGAGAGACGCCCACGCCACGGGAGAACAAACAGACTTAACCCGTTTCTTCAGGGAACGAAACGCGCTCAGTCAGGTAGAGCCACCTTCTCCTTTCTGCCTCGTCCAGGTTTACAAGGGCACAAGGCACAAGCCAGGCAGCGCTGTCAGCCCCCCACCCCTCTCCCTCCACACCGAGCCATGAAGCTGCGGGAGGGGGGACAGCTCTGCCCCAGCCCCAGCCCCAGCCCCAGCCCGGATGGTGGAACCTGCTGAGACTTAGGAGTAATTACTGCAGTATCAGAAAAGAGACACACACACACTGAGATGTAGGGGGAGTAGCTACTGCAACATCAGAAAAAGAGAGCCTCCCCCCAACACACCCACCCGCGGCTCTGTTAGGCTTGGGATGGACGCAGACGCTCTTTTCTGGCCCCAAGCCTGGGAAAAGCTACTTCACCCCCCACCCCCCTTTCCACTATCCCTTATTTATGCCAGCTGCCCCGTGTCTCCAGAAATCACCATTCTGTCAAATACTTCACTGAAGCAAAGCAGGCCCCCAGTCGGTTCTTAAAACAGGAAAATACAACACTTAAAGGTTTTATTAGTATTTATTTTTTCTTAAGAAACAGGGCTTCTCACCTGGGAACTAGTACAATGCTATTGCTAGAAGCTGCACTCACTATGCCAGAGAGAATTCTCTCCATGGAGTGAGGGAGTGATCTGTAGGCATTTATGCACAAAAAAAGAACATGCATAGTATGTTTTCATTATTTTCAGGTGTTGTAGTTAAAGCCATAACCTGTGCATACAAATGAAGATCTATTATTAGGTAACAGACTTTTTTTTATGGAGATCTGGATTTGTTGCAGGATTTCAGTATTGGAAAAAGCTGCTGAGTGCAGAATCTCCTTGTGCACCAGTGAGGTGTCATGGGCTATCCCCATAAACTTTAAAGAACTGTGGTGGTAGGATTACAAGAATGCATTGATAGATAGCAGTGATAAGAGGAGGCCCAGACACCCACTATATTTCAGATCATCTTAAATAAAAAAAACAAAACAAAGCAAAATAATCATGTGGACTCTCGTTCTTAATTGTGGAACAATATACTTAAAAGTATAGATCTGGATGTGAGCTGCCTTCCCCCTCCCCTGCCCTTGTACAATGATAAAATGCATCCTTTTCAATCAGGAAGTGGTGAGTTACCATATTAGGTAGGTAGATATTACACTACTTATGTATTCCAACTCAGTGGGCAGAAATGTCATTAATAGGAACTCTTGATGATCTGGACCAGTATTGCTTGTTCTGTGTAAGGTTCCCCACTTCCTTTATTTGTTTGCATAGAATAATCCAAGATAAAACAAGTCTTTGCAGATGTTAAGAATCTGTTTTTATTGTATTTAAGTCATGATGTAGCATCCCATTCCCTACACCTATTTAAACTAGAAGCCTTGCCCAAGCAAAGGTTTGGCATCTAGCCAAGGCTAGAAGTTTCAAAGCAATAGATAATGTGTAGCCTCCTGAAGAACTCACTTGTTCATAGTCTGTTTAATTCCTACAGCCTTAAAGAATCCAGATAGCTGAAAGGAGCTGAAATAATCTCCAGATCAACTTAATAAGAATAATTCATGATACTAAAAGAAAATAGTTAGTCTTTAGCTTGGCAAAATAATATGCAGGTTTCAATCAAGCAAGCAGTATAAAACTGAGCCATTTTAGCTATCGTTAACAGTGGCAATAATTTAAGAAAATTCATTAAAGAACACCTTTGGGTAACATTACTGCTAATTATTTAATTGCAAGCATTCCCAAGGGAAAGCATGTTAATTATAAAGTAATAAAGCCAGTTCTAAAGCTTGATTCAGCAGATTTTATTACCAGTTTAGTCTTTTTTTTAAACAGCAAATTTCTTAAATCATCTGATAAAAGCAACACCAACAATTGTGTGCATCCCCTTTATGTTACTAATACATAAGAGCTATATTGTTGTATCATTATTGCTTTATTCCCGATTTATAAATCCAGCTAAGTTGAATAAATGCTGTGAGCAAGTTTACCCCTCTGACCTTAAAAAAAACAAACAAATGAACACCGAAACTGCAACAAGATTTCAAGTGCAAAACAATTTTTAATGGACACAAATGCAACACTGTATATGTCATCCTTTACCCAGCCAAGTCAATATTAAAACAAATCTGTTACCTGTTTGTTATCTTGCAGCTGAGTGCAGCTTTGAGAGATGGCCTTATGCAATCAAGTTCTCTCCTTACTTATGGCATCCTGCCCTTTGGAGATCTTTGTGTAGCATACTTTGTGCCTATACTTGCACAAGAACCAGACATGTGACCATTTTAAATTACCCTTACAACCTGAGAAATTAAACTGTGTTCACAGTAGCCACCACAAGTTCTACCTTTCTCCCACCAGCTTTTCAAGAGGTCAGAAGTTCTGTCTCTTCTTGTTTCTCTAAAACCTACTCCCATTCACCCTGTTGGGACATCTCATTTAAAAACTGAAATCAAAACTGTTGAAAACATCTTTCTATGATTTGTAAACCTTGGCATAAACCTTATGTTCATGGCTTCTTGTACTAATCATTGTGCAGTAAATCTTTGGGGAATTAGTACTTTGGTACTTGCTATTGTTTTTATTAGGGTAAAACCACTTCAGCAGCTGTTTTTTCTTTTGTTTTTCACACCGAAGACAGTGTTTTGTGGGAAAACTTATGCTTCCATAATGTGTCACCTGACTCTTTTAATTTTTTTTTGTATCTATACTGACATTTATGTAATCTAAACCAACCCAGGCATGCACATGTTCTATACATGCTGTATGTGTTCCTTTTTGTAAGGTGTCCCCCAAAAATACATTTATATTGTATGTGCACAGAAGAAAATGAGGTGGATTTCAAACTACAGTTCTTAAAGAAGTGTTCCAGAAGTCTAACTGAAAACATTTTTCCTGCCCTTCCTATTACAGTGAAGCAAGAGGACGTG